ACCAGCGCCCCAAACTGCATGCCCCCTAGCACCCGGCAGTCAAGCTCGCAAAGCAGCATCCACCAGCACCTCAAACTGCATGCCCCCGAGCACCCGGCCGTCAAGCTCGCAAAGCAGCATCCACCAGCACTTCAAACTGCATGCCCCCCAGCACCCGGCCGTCAAGCTAGCACCCGGCCCTCAATCTCGCAAAGCAGCATCCACCAGCACCTCAAACTGCATGCCCCCTAGCACCCGGCCCTCAATCTCGCAAAGCAGCATCCACCAGCACCTCAAACTGCATGCCCCCTAGCACCCGGCCCTCAAGCTCGCAAAGCAGCATCCACCAGCACCTCAAACTGCATGCCCCCTAGCACCCGGCCCTCAATCTCGCAAAGCAGCATCCACCAGCACCTCAAACTGCATGCCAGCATCCTAGCACCCGGGCCGTCAAGCTCGCAAAGCAGCATCCACCAGCACCTCAAACTGCATGCCCCCTAGCACCCGGCCCTCAATCTCGCAAATCATTTTCCCCTCTTTATTAGAAGTTAGAACCCCTATAGCTTTCAGCTATCTGGGGAATAAGGACGACAACATCATGTCTACGCATCCTCTGCATCTCCAACCAGGTTACAGCGATGATGATGTGATGATGATGAGCAAGTCATCATCACCATGATGGTAGTCATTATCGTCATCATCATCATCATCGTCATCGTCATCATCGTCATCATTGTCATCATCACCGTTGTCATCATGGACGATAACCATCATCGTGCATCCTCTGCATCACCAACAGTCATGATGATAATCATGACTACGCACCCTCTGCGTCTCCAATCGGGTCTAACGCTACACTTGAAACGTATAGACAAAAGATAAGGGCGACAACAATGTTGTTTGACCTACTGACAAGCGTGTCATCATCATCGTCATCATCATCAGCATCATCCTCGTCATCGTCATCGTCATCGTCACCGTTATCATCATCGATGATAACCATCATCGTGCACCCTCTGCGTCACCAACAGTCATGATGATAATCATGTCTACGCATCCTCTGCATCTCCAATCAGGTCACAACGATGATGATGTGATGATGATGAGCATGTCATCATCACCATGATGGTGGTCATCATCGTCATCATCATCATCATCGTCATCATCATCAGCATCATCCTCGACGCCAGCCAGCAGCGGCGGTAGTGGCAGCAAAGAGCGTAATGGCTAGTCCAGAACAGACTGCGAATGCAAGTCCGTCCTTACGGGCATGATGTCTGGCTCTAACAGGGCACTTGAAACGCACACGAAAAGACACGGATGACGACAATAATGATCATGATGACGAAAAAGACACGTCTTTGAGGCGCAAAGGATGCTACGATGACGGTATTGCTTACGCTGATAATGTTGAATCTTCGGCTATGCTCATTTACCAAACAACCGTGGACTTGTGCTGTAACCACCCTTCCCGTGCGCCTCCCCCTTTGAGGAGAAGGGGTCGGCGGACTAGGGCTGGTGTTTACTAAGGTTGCTTCTTTGGTTGGTTGGTTGGCCACCCCCCCAGCATCACTGGCCTCACTTGGACCTAGGGCTGCCCATTAGCTCTAAAAGGTGGCAGTTGTTTTTGTCTTCCAGCAAGGGGCTGGTCCAATTGGGTTTGTGTTAGGTTGGAAACCCAAGTCACCAAAACTAGCCCAAGACTAGCCCAAACCTCGCGTAGCCACACCCTACAGCAAGCCCAAAGCCACTGCTAAACCAGCCGCGCACCTAGCACAGATCAGCAAATCCACCCAACAGCAGCTCCGGATATCAGCCCTTTTGGAGCCCAAATAATCGCCAAACCAACCCAGACCCCGCCTTTATGAAGATGTCAGGTAGCCTAAAACTCATCCTGCCGTGCCGAGCATGCAAAACTCATTTGCTGCAAAGACTTGATAGTGCCGAAAAAGAGTTACGCCGCAAAAGCCGCGGAGAACGGTCGCGCCTCGCGCGCCGTTTCAACAAGGCGCAGGCGGGTTGCTGGCTTGCCTTGCATTTTGCCGGCGACGCATGTTGTGGGGGAGGCAACAAATCCGGCCCAGCAGTTTCTCCTGTCAGCAGCTTGGCCGCGCGGTGATCCAGACGGTTCGTGCAATACACAGTCACTAGCGTGTAAGAACAAGCTACTGCTCAGAACAAAAAGCATTTGCATAGTCGCGTTGCACATCCTGCGAACTATACGAGCAGCTTGCGAAGCATCTTGTATCAAAAAAGGACATCGGGTAGCCGGTGTTTTTTTGGTCTTCAAAGGGCCGTTATGTGCGATGCGCTTTAATTACAAATGTAGTTTACTTGGCGTCTTTGTCAATTGCCGTGAATCATGTGCCACCCGTTTGTCAGAGTAGCGCTAAGACCAAACCAGCAATAGAAATCATACACCTGTACCCCAAATGGATTCTTACAAATGGAGTGTCATGGCTAGTATGCATGCGCGCATTGGTTGCTAATGTGAGCTCCCTGAGGCCTGCTGCGGTGCAGAACGGAGAAGTGCCTGAAATGCGAGGGCAAAACATGCGCGGAGCTCTTGGGATTCTTGCAGATGCCAAGACCTCGTGTCCAATGGCCCCTTCTCTAGGGAAGCCACTGTTTGGCATAAGATGAGGAATGTTTCAGGTTGTGCATACTCTTTTTTACAACCTGCACGCTTTCGACTGCTCATATGAGCTTTCGAGAGCTCAAACCGACGGCCCCTGCGAGACGCGCACGCACTAGGCGTGCTGGGGCGCAGGGCCTGAAATTGTTGGGCACAGACGTGGCGCAGACGTGGCACAGACATGGCGCAGACGTGGCACAGACATGGCCAGGCCATGGCTGAGGAGGAGGAGCAAAGTTGGGACGCGACCCTGGACGAGTGGCTTATCAGCGAGGCGGCAACAAACTGTCTCGAAACAAGAAACATCCCGAAACTCGCAGGATTCGGTCCCTAGGATGAAAGAAGTTGTCTAGTGAAATAGAGAGAGGGAGAGAGTCATAAATAGACAAACCGAGGCAGAGGCAGACAGTTTGGTGTTATTGGCGGGGCTGTCTTCCCTGTTCATTCAGGCTAGTCCCCCCTTTGACACGTAGACTCAAAAGCGGCATGGCAGACCTGGTGGCTTTGAACAAACGAAGTTTGCTTGCATAGTCTCTCTGGGCTGGCCAGGGCTTCTGCTATTCCGCTGGAATGGCTCAGCTGGAGGATGGAGCTTTCTACGCAGCAGCGCCAGAGAAGGACGAGGCGCATGATTCGTTTGGCTCAGAGTGAGGCGGCAATCAGTGGACCGCCCTAAAACACGCGTGGCCACCCTTTTGATTCTTTGTGCGTAGTTTTGAATGCCAGGTGTTGTGGCTCACCGATGAATCTGGAAACTGCCAAGCAAGCGCTTTCCAGCGCAGGCTGGATGGGGTTTCATCTACAAGGAAGACCACGAGCAGATGATCACTCAGGAAGCAGAGCACTCAAAGGCGGCGTGTGAGTGCCGCAGCCAAATGCAACAAAGACCCAAGTAAGCCGATGCAGAGCTTTGCACCAAGGACATGACAGAAAAGAAAATGACCATCACTGAGGCATGAGTTTGTGGCAATGCGGGGTTGTGATGGGTTGTTCATCATGCCTTGAAGTGTGCGTGACTTACAAATGCTTTGCGCAGGCAACTTCCTTGAAGTATGTTGCCGACAATCTGAAGGCTCCTCCGACTGGACTGTGGCTGGGTGGTCAGACTCTTGACTGAGAACAGGCCAAACTTGAGTGAGGGCATTGCTTCAGATAACACATGATAGCACTACGACTGGGGCACAAGCGCTGAACACATGCTGCCTCTGCGTTCCAGGGGTTATCTTGTCTGCAAGCTGCATCACGAGTGCGTCAGCCATTTGCCGAGGAAGTACTCGGTCACGCGTGTTGAGAAAGAATTCCAGGTCAACGAAACGACGTACCTTGACAGCAACCGAGTTTGTGTTGGCTCAGATTGTTGCAGCAAAGTGTGCATGCTGGAAGTTGCTTGCATTGATGATGCAAGGTTCACTTACATCTTTGCGAACAGGCCTAAGAAGGCCATGATATCCCTGCCCAATTTGTGCCCAGCGCGAGCTGCCAAGCCCAAGTGAAGCTATTGCTTCGCAGTCTTCGACATCTGGATTGATTGCAATGTGTGCTGCAGGGCGTTGCGATCGGCATCACCAACTCCCAGATCATTTGTGCGTTTTACGACGATGCCTTGCAGCAATTCAGCCTGTCGCCTCACCTGTTGCATCCGGAGCGCTGCTTTCTTTTCACATCTGAGGAGGAGAAGGGTCAAACGGCCGGCAATTGCACCAAGGCGCGCAGCTTTTGCCGGGGGTGGGCAAGGGGAGGTTTTATGGCAGACAGGGAGACACTAAAGACTAGTCCAAGAGTCCAAGACTGGCAGCGAGACCCCTCGGGCCGCAGACAAGAGCTATCAGATGAAGCCGTTGGGAGTTGCAGGTGCTGGCGGCGTTCGCTGAATGGATGAAGAACACAGGCTACTGAGGCTGGACTTCCGGGAGATTCAAGCAAGACTGTCTAGGCTGCATGCTCACTGGGCCCACGCGAACGTCGTGCCGAGGTCGATTTGGTGTGAGTGGCTTTGGCCCAGAATACCGCCGGCCAGTAACCCAAGCGGCATTTCCTTGGGGTGCTTCGCTGTTGACTGCGAGCCCTCGAGAGGCAATCATGCCCATCTTTTGATTTGAACTTGGAAGTCTCGTGGACTCGGAATAGGCGACCTCAGACATTGCACCTCTAGGTCAAAGGCTGAGACCTCGCAGAGACTGGATGCATAGTTTGGAAGTTCGAAAATGGGCTCGGGTGCATGGAGTGACAACTTGTGGTGCACAGACGTGAATTGCAGCTCGGGTGAGAGGGTACAGTGCTGAAGGACAACTGCTTGGCAACCGCCCAGTGCTACACTGAGAAGCAAAACGTACATCTCAACAGTATTTGTTTCAGACTTGACATGGATTTGAAAAACTTCAACCCAACTTTCTCTTAGAGGGCCTCGCACTCGGCATGTCCTGCCTTCCACCGGACACCTTGTCTCACTTCGAGCAGCGGGAGCAGGAGAGAAGCCTGATTTTCACTGCTCTTCGCTTCATTTCTTTCTTGCAGGAGATCCTTGCGCGAAACTCAGAGATCGACAAGAAGCGCCCCGGCTGAGACGCCGCTGTCAGCCGCGATGTGGCGATGTGCCTGTTTCCACTGTCCAAGGCGTGCGGAGGCTGTGGCCCAGGCCTGCGCACCGTTTGGTCGATGCCAAAAGAGAGTTTGCGCGAGGCATCAACTGCCATCCGCGAAGCTGAGTGGGGGCCCCAAGTCCGAGGATCCGAAGTCGAGAGAATGCCCGGCTCGGGGTCCCGGGGTTGCCATGAGGTCAGCCTCACAGCGGAGGCCACAGGCGGCCTCGGGTGTGCATCCCATGCTTCCCATCTCCCATGCTTTCGCACGGCCAGACCATCGAAGCATCCGCGGAGTCCCAGCACGGACCACAGCGAGCGGTGTCGAAGCATGGGCTGCAAATGCAAATGAGGTCCAATCAGAGAGTCGAGGCAAGGGCAAGTTAGCGAAGTCAATGCCCCGACCTCGAAGCCAGGATGCTATGCCGGCCATGCCGGCCATGCCGTCACCTGGAGGTTTCGGCGGAGATGGCGAGGCATCGTCCTTGAGGGTTCAAGTGTCAAGCCCTCAATTCGGATTGGACAGGCCCTGCACACGACCATCCGCCTGCAGAATGCACGGATCCTTGCCTTGCAAGAGGAGCTGAGTTGACATTGCCGGCTGGCTGGCGGCTCCATAGAGGAAGAAGGCCATTTGATAGTTTCCACCACCTTTTCTCACTTTTGAGATGAGCGCTGCGTCAGCTGTTCCCGAGAGAGTTGTCGCACGTCGTACTTCGCCGGCACCTCCTTCGGCTTTTTGCCCAAAGCGTTGGTGAGCAAACGCGGTGCTGTTGATCAGCTACTTTCTATCGGATTATCGAGGTTTTGCACGTTGAAGAAGGCCTGCCTTTGACCTCTGCAGTGTTTAGCGTCCAATTAGCTAATTACTTTTGTGGCAGTTGGAAATCATAGTTGGGATTCCTGATCCAAGCTCCTTCCCCAAATGACGTGCAAGAGGTCACTGCCCTTTGGGGCTTGCCAGTATCTGTCTTCGAATGTGAGACAAGGAAATTTTAGCCGGAGTGCGACAGCTCCAAGAGCTTCAATGTGCAGCCATGGGTGCAAACGCCTCGCTCGCCGATGTAGCAGCCTGTGCGCAACAGCCCAGGAGCTGCTCGGCATTGCTTTGGCTTTTCTGCCTTTCCCTTGTCCAAGTCTCGGGTTCGAAAGTTGAGACGGGGACACTGAATGCCTCTCTCAGCTGCCAGGTGTTTATCACAGCGTAGCAGATTTCAATCGCCGCCTTGGCTTGAAAGACAATGTGGTAGCAACAAGCCAGTCGGCAAGTGGGGAAACTGCAGAAGCACTCCTATTTCATTTTGCTGAGCGACTATTAAGGATACTCTACCCCGAACGGGGCGTTGGTGAAAGACGAGGGTGTGCTCGTGGACGTGCCTGAGTGCAAGAAGAAGTGCGTGGTCTCTTCGAAGCGGTGGAGCATCCAGGGAGAGATTCCAACAGGCTTCGATGCCAAAAATGCCTCGCCTGTCATCTCGGGTGCACTCGTTGCCTGAACTCGTTTGCGCTCGTGCTTCAATTGTTTTCTCTCGTTTGGACATTTGCAAGACAGCTGTTTGTGTCAGGGTTCGAGACCCACGGTATCCCGGGAGACCTCGTGAGCTTCACTGCCGTTAGGCTCAAAGGCGCAAGTGGGGCAAGTGGAGAGACAAGTGGAGAGACAGGCATTTTGCGCGCTCCAAGCTCCGCGCTCGGCTTCGGCAGGCCGAACTTTCTTCGCCGAGCTGCTGGTGCTGAGGCGAGGCCTCGCTGGCAGGGCCTTGCGCGGCTTGGCCAAAGGAGGGCAATTTGAGATCGCGCAAGTGCAAGCGCAAGTGCGCCGCATATGCGCCGCATATGCGCCGCATATGCGCCGCATATGCCAGAGTGGAACTCGTGCCTACGCGGAATCCATGCCATGCAAATCCGTGAGACTCGCGATGTCCGAGGCTCGGAGCCCGAGGGCATCTCCTACCCGCGGTTCCTGCGGTGCTGCGGAGTGGCGGCACAGCGCGAGCAGCTGGCGCTCCACAGCCTCCAGAGTGCGCCCGTTTTCAAGCACTTCTTCCAGGGCCGCCAGGTCCGGAAAAGTCGAATGGAAATGTCGATGCCGCGTGGAAGGAAGGATGGAAGGATGGAAGGAGTGGTGGTGCATCGTGCAGCTTTGCCTGAGGTGAGCTGGGTGGGGCGGATCAAGTTCATTCGCACCAACAATACCAACAGTGGCGAGCAGGAGGCGCCCGGCAGCCGTGTGATCTGATTGACAGGAGTGCAAGGAGCAAGAAGCAAACGAATGCACATAATGCACAGAATGCACAGAATTCAGAAGCCACATGCCAACTGGCCAACCGGCTGAAGAAGTGGGCAACTCGCTGTACCTCGTTTGAGTCGCCTTCGTCTCACGTGAGGTGGCGTTGCGGATGCAGCGGGGGGAGGGCTGGGGCGAGCCGGTGCTGCTGCACCTGAGCCATGCCCTGGCAGGCGGGTAGTCGGTGTCTTAGATTCAGTCTGGACCGGAGAAAACAGGGAGAGAAGTTGGGGGGCGGGGTTTGGGGGAGGAGTTGGTGACGGGATGACTCCTGTCTCTCTTTCGGTCCCTCCCCCTCTCTCTCGCTCTCTCTCTCTCTCTTTCTCTTTTTTTTTTTTTCTCTCTTCTCTCTCTCTCTCTCTCTCTCTCTCTCTCTCTCTCTCCGTCTCTCTCTCGACTTCTCTCTCCCCGCATCGTGCCAAAGATTGGAGGACCGCAGCTTCAGCCTGGTCTCTGGATTGCGCTGCTTGGCACATTCAATCCATTTATCAAGGATAATTGAACTCTGAGAATATGTTCACCAATGGCCTTTGCATAGGTTTACTGCTGAACTCCTGAAGCAGGGAGGCCGCATATTTATGTGGCACGAGCTGCGAGCGGTCCAAGTGGACATCCTGGATCAGTGGGCAGCCGCTTGGCGCTTGACATATCAATGCGCATGCCAATCTCAGGTCTCAAAGGTTTCTCCGGAAGTCAGAGTTGTTATGAGTTGCCGGCATGCAGCCACGCAGTGAGGACATGGACTCGGAATCCACCAGTTCAACTGAGATTGAGGCGATGTAAACCCGCGCATTGCTATTTCAGTGGGAAATGCCAGGATTTGGAGGAGGTGTCGGATGACTTGGATGAGGTGCCCTGAGACTGTGCTGCCCTAAGACGGGTGCTGCCGTGAGGCACCTCCCGCGCCCGCGCCTTCCAGGACGGATGCTGAACTTGACCAACTTCAAAATAGCACATGGCACATTGAAGCAGAGTCTGCACATGACGCGGCACTTGACTCATTGACACGGCTTGCAGGAAGCGGGCGCGAGAGGAGGGCCAAGACAACGACCGCCTTTGCGTGGTCTGCCAGGACAGCGTTGCGCGCACGTGCCAGCATCCATTGGAGACCACTCTGATTTCACGGATTTGATTTGCGGTGGCAATGGCGTATGTTTGAGCATCATTCGATCATTTTGGCTCTTGAAGTGTGAGGCCAGGTCTGCTCGGCCCGTGCTTACCCGCCAGGATGTGGATAAGACTCATGCGTTTGTACCTTGTGGGCCATTTGGCTGCGCTGAGGTTGCACAGCAAACAGTACCGAGCCGTTTCATGTCTCAGCCCAGGCACTTCTGCGTGTGTCAGCCATGTGCCGATCGCATCACCATACAGATTCCGCGGGCTTGCCCACTTTGCCGGCGAGCCACGACACGCGCCTTGGCTGCGTGTGTCAAGCTGAAGACCTGTGAGCGAGAAGCTGAGGCGCTGTCCGCATTTGGGAATAGCCTTCAGCGGAAGTGCCATTTGCGACGCAAAACGCGGCCGGCGTACTCGCGTTGGTGAGTTTGGAGCAGATGGTCAAACTGAAGTGCTTGTTCAGAAATGGCAGTGCCAATGTGCACAGCTCAAGCTATGCCGTGACGAAGGAGCTGGACAAAGCCATCACGGAGGCGACACAGCGAGATAGCGAGGCAGGAGGTTTTGCGCTGTGCTCATTCTTCTGCCAGTCGCATGAGATGAGGTGCAACAACTACGGCAGGAGAACAAGCAGGCAGGCCTGCTTAGACAAATGCACCAGACAGACGGGCCTACCGAAGACATTTTAATATAGATGTTGCCTATGAAACCATGCTGCATTCATAACAAGTCCGTATCCTAGCAATTGGTACCAGTCAGAAATGCTAGTTTGAATGAGGTCAGCGAAGAAGTGAAGCGCTTGCAGAAGCTTGGGCTCAATCATGGAGGCTCACTGATGCCCCTCAAGCGTTTTCGTTTTGCTTTAACAATGTTTGTACAAGAGGAGATGAGATGTATTTGGTGGTGTCTCAGCCCAGGAAGACAAACGCTTCCCTGGAGCAGTCTCAGGACTGCTTTGTGTCCTCTTGACGGTGTGCGTGTGTGTGTGTGTGCCATCAACCCCGTTTGCCTAGGAGAAGCTGAAGAAGCAGGTCTCGGCTTTGGAGTCCAAAACCAAAGACCTGGAGGTGGAAAGAGCCGAGCTGACCAAGGCACCGCGCGCACGGCGCACGGCCCTACGGCTTTGAAGCTAAGCCAGATGGCAGGCGAGAGACCAGCTCGATGTGAAGATGCGAAAAGCGGAGGCGGACAGCAGCAGCAAGGTGGGGCCAAATGTGGGCATGCGTCGCATGCGTCGTGCGTCTTTGTTGCCTTCGCTTTTGCAGGAAGCTCGGCTAAATCGCCTCACGGAGGAGTGCGAGAAGCTCAAGGCCGAAGGAATGAAGAGAATATCAAGCCACTCTCCGCTCAACCCGTGGTGTCTCGTGCCCGAGTATTGCATTGCAGGCAGCGGCAAAGGATGCCAGCCTGCAGGACGTTTCGGTTTGAGGAGATTTTTCTCCGGAAAATGGAGATGCAAGCGGTGCTTCAGGAGCGTGACCGCGTGTCCTCCGATCGCAGGGAGGTGGACCGCTTGACCAACGAGGCGCGCTGCCAGGGACATCGCGCGAGCTGCGCGCCCAGCCCAGCGGTCCAGGTTCGGAAGCTGGAGCGGCAGAGGACGGAGCTCGTGCGGCCCTTACGGACGTATGCAAAGGGACCACATTTTGTGGAAGGGAGACTTGTGTGGTTCGAATCAGCCCATGGTTACGGCTTTTCTCAGCACATCAGGTGACTGCTTTCAAAAAGCAGATGAAGCTCATTGAGGCGAGCCCCTCATAGCCTTCCCCCCTCCCCCCCTTTAAGCCTTTCAAATTGCAGACGTGCTGTGCCTGGCTTGTATCAACTCGGCCATCAACCATGTCCATTCTTGATTCAAACCAAGCCAGAGTTCGGGATGTTCTAGGCAGTCACGGAAGCCACGAGAGGTGCTGAAGAGACAACGCGCCCACATGGAAGCGGCTCGCGTTTTGTCCTTCACAGAGGCAAGGCCGGGAGGTTTTTTGTTGCGTTTGAAGATCTGAAGCTTCACCGGCTTGGGATTGATTCTGGCATTCTGGCGCCCCACGAACGCGATTGACCTGCAACGGGCGAGACCGAGCACTTTGTCTCAAGTCCCGGCCTTCCGGAGCTTGCGGCTTGCTTCCCAATTCGGCATATTCGGCATATTCGGCATATTCGGCATGGGCTGCGGAGCGAGCACTTCGATCCCCTGCCGAAATCCCCTTTGCTCCCTGGCGCCCAATGCCGAGGGCTACTGCTGCAGCAACTGCCAAGGCCTGCACGAGGGCGCGGTCTTCTGGGACGTGAAGAACCCCATCAACGCAAAGAACGGTACCGATGAGATGCCAAGCCCAAACCTGAGTCGCTTCCGGCAATGCAATGCGAAAAGCTTGCGAGAGCACACAGACAACTATATCAAGCGATATTAGTTATTAAGTGTAAGTCGGGCACTTTAAGCAGAAAGTCGGTCCTGCTGGCAGACGGCATGTATGTGTGTGTGTGTGTGTGTGAACCTTCCTAGCTCATGGAAGATAGCTTCTCAACCCAATTTTGCGCAGAGGGGCTGTCTACTCCACAGAAGTGGCAGCCCAACGAAGAGACTTCTGTGGAGGCGAATCACTCGAGACGTTCTGCGACGTACCTGCAATTTCAAACGGCATGGCATGGCTCCCTTTTCTCGCGTGTAAATAGCTTCCTTCGGCTGGAGTTTCTCTTGTCTTTTGTCAGGACCCCTCAACACCGTGCGCGTCTGAAAAGAGTGTGTGAATGCGGAATCATGCAACAATAGGCGCCCATAGGCAGTGTGCTCAGGTCAAGGATTGCCATAGCATCGGTCAATCCTAGCTGCGCTCCATAGGTTGTACTCGGTAATGTGAACCTTGGGATGGACGTGTTGGTGCGTGCCTAGTTGCCCAGGCCACGAGACTTCTCCGGTGCTGCAGTGGGCATTGTCGCGGGTGCATTTCCAGGGCTCTTGGCGGAGCTTCGAGCGCTTTGAGACCGAAAAGGCAGAAAAGACTGAGAGTTTCAAGAGCGAGAGCTTTCTCTACATTGCGCTGGTGCGGAACGATAAGGAGCTGCAGTGTCGCAGGCTTTGTCGTGACCCAGTGCCGGCAGAATGGAGCCACTTCGACATTTGGCTGGACAGGGACCTGCTGTTGGTGCACGATGCGAAACCCGGGGACCGGCTGCGGCTGAAGTACCAAGCAGGGAAGGCGAGCACGTTGGAAGCGCGGGCCATCAGCATCGCCTTGCTGCCGGTGAGCTTGGCTTCCATGGAGCACCAGTGCCCAGCCGTGACAGCCAAGCAGTCCGCCAAGCCGTCACGGGTCGCGTGCAAGAACCCGGACTGTGCCTACCTGGCTGAGGCCAAGGGCTTTTGCTGCAGCTGCTGCGAGTACCTGCGCAAGACCAGCGCCTGCTGGATGCTGAACGGGCCGGGTCCCGCAGATGAGCCTCAGAGCTGCTCGCCTGAGACTTCAGACGTCTCAAGCAAACTTCTTTTCAGGGGCAGACTCTTGCCGTTGGATTTGCAAGAACGCAAAAAGAGAGGTTCGAGCGCGTTTGCTTAGGCTTAGAGGCATTGCCGCTGAGAGAAGCTCTGGGCACAGTCCACCTGCAGTGCTGGTGGCAGTCACCGTGCCCGAAGGCCGCCGGGATCGACATCCGCCTGCTGCGGGCGGGCGCAGAGGTCCAGTGTGTGCGGCTCGCAACGAGTCCACCACCGAGCTGGGAGCACCTGCAAATATGTCTTGATAGGACCATCCAATGTTGGACCTGTAGTAATCTGAAACCAATGTCCCCAGCTCTCCGTTTTTGCAAGAAATGAACATGCACGAATGGGGAGAGAGCCGAAAAAAACCTGATAGAAGCCACGAACCCGAATGCACAAGATGGCCTTGGGAATGTGCATTTCGTCAACTCGAGCAAGGTTGTCCAGCCATGCTTTGAGCGACGCTTCTGAGCTTCTGACCAACCGTTCAACCGACACCTCCAAATATTCTTCAACGCAACCCTCGTAAGCGACTTTTGTCACTGACGCTTCCGAGCAAGAGCTTGAGCGACATTTCTCAGCGACAACTTGAGCGACGCTTCTGAACACACTTTCCAGCAGTATTTCAAATTACGCTCCTAAGCGACACCTCTGATTGACACATCGAAGCGTCAAGCGCCAATCCTGAAGCCACACTTCTGAAGCGAGAAAGTACGGCAAACTGAGCGACGCCTCCTACACACACACACACATAAGCAACACTTCTGAGCAACACTTCAAGCGACAGTTCTACACACGCGCACATGTAAGCGACGCCTCTGATCAACAATTCTTTCTGAGCAGTACTTCAGATCGACACCTCTGAGCAACACTTCTGATCGACGCTTCTGAGCGACGCGACACTTCTGGTCGACAGTTCTGATCGACACTTCTAGCAGAGTGAGCGACACTTCTGAGCAACGCTTCTGAGCGACACTTTTCGCCGACGCTGCTGATCGACGCTCTGAGCAACACTTCTGAGCAACGCTTCTGAGCAACACTTCTGGGCAGCACTTCTGATCAGCACTTCTGACCGACAGTTCTGAGCAAGACTTCTGAATAACGCTTCTGATCGACGCTTCCGAGCGACTCTGAGCAACACCTTTGGTCGACACTTCTGAGCGACACTCCTGAGCAACACTTCTCAGCAACGGTTTTCTGCCACGCTTCTGATCGAAGCTTCTGATGAGCACTAGGCTTGTAAGCAACACTTGTGAGAAATACTTCTGATCGACTCTGCTCCGACGCTTTGGAGCAACACTTCTGAGCAAGGCTTCTGAGCAACACTTCTGATCGATGAGGAATATTTTTGCAACACTTCTGATCGACACTTCTGAGCAACGCTTCTGATCGACGCAGCTGATCAAAACCTAAGTCACCGACAGTTCTGGTCGACACTTCTGACCCGCAACACTTCTGAGCAACAACTCTGATGAACACTTCTGAGCATCTGAGCAAAACTTCTGAGCAACGCCTCTGATCGACGCTTCTGAGCGACACTTTTGAGCAACGCTTCTGAGCAACGCTTGTGATCGACACTTCTGATCGACACTTCTAAGCAACACTTCTGAGCAACGCTTTTGATCGACGCTTCAGCTTGATTCATGTCAAGCTCGCCAAAATGAGCCGAGTGTGCGGCAGGGCGAAAAAATGCCACTCGCGCAAAGGCTTGCGCGCCTGCCAAGCAAGACACCTCAACACGACCGCCCCTGAACGCAAATCACACTGGCCCGGCAACACAGACACACACAGCCTTTCAAAACACAGCGCCTGCGCAGCAAGACCACATGTTGAGCTTGCGAAGCTGCAATTCCCGCACCGGGCCAATGAAAACAGCGCGTGCCGATCCATTCGCTTCAACAACGAATCCCAATGGCACACGCGTATCGCCTCGCTGCGAACAGTTGCGTACGGTTGCGGACGGTTGCGAACGGGCGCGAACTCTGAAATAACGTCGTCGGGTCGGCCTATGATCTGCGGTGGTGGCTGCGGCTGCGGCCCTGGGCGGGGCAACACGTTCTGGCGGACGTACTCGGCAGCGTTCTGGGGGAGCTGGGAGCGGAAGGGCCTGCACCGCCGCGAGCCCTGCTGCTCCTGCGCCACAAGGTCCGCTGCTGCCTGCGCTCCATCGGCCTTGCGAAGACGGCCTCCACCCCCAGACCCCCACTTATAAGAAACAGAAACCCTTCGCCACGCATTCCGTAAAAAACACCCTCAGGCAAATGTCTGGAGTGTTGCCGTTCAAGAGCAAACAACCTCGAGAAAGCCAGAAACCAACAGCAACACAAAAGAGGCAAACGTCTGACTTGGGGCCAGGACCTTTTGTCTGGGGTTTGTTTTCTCGAGGTTTTTGCACGGAAGCTCAAAAACTGAAAATCTTGAGAACCTCCAGAAAGCAAAAACACACAAGTCCTGTTGCGAGGTAGGTGTAGGTGATGTACAGTCACAAGCACTCATAACAACTGCTTACATTGGTCCAAAAGTGTATTTCAGGGAGCTCTGTCCTAACAATAGAAAGTGGGTATTGGGGGTTGGAGCCAGCCGGGCGCTCCAGGTGAGCTGCCTTGGAACACGGATTTCATGAACGGATCCCAAATTGAGTTCTGAAGTAAAAGTAATGAGGGCCTTTTGAGGTTGGTGTTGAGGGCCTGTCTGGATGTTGTCCTATTCGGAACAATGAGTCCGCTCACGCAGGGTTGGGCTACTTTGGGGTTCCCGATACAGTTGTCGCATTCTTGCGGAATACAGTTGTTGGGAAACTCGCGGGATACAGTCCCAGTATGGCATAGAGTTTCCCTAGCTAGGAAGCCCGGAAAAATAATAAAAAATCATCAGACAGATTGAGTTTGAGAGTATGCCCCTAGTGTTTCCCCAGTATTCCTAATTCATTCAACCCCTGTAATAATTGGTTGTCGTTTTGAGTGTGATAATTTCAGCAAAGTGATGAGAGACGGTGAAGAAAATAGTGATCAGAGGGGGAATTAGTTGTATTTGTGTGGTTCAGGCTGTACGTTAACTCAGCATTCTCACGTTTCATCGTTCACTTGAAGAAGCAAGCTCCCTTGGTGCTGCGCTGAAAGTCGCAAGGACGTAATATGACCCGGCGCCAATACTGGACAGCGAAAAGACAACCCGGGCACAGGATGCACCTCTCCCTGAATTAACCATTGCACTGGACAACAATCCTGGTCCTGGTCCTAGTGGTTTGTCTTGTATTACTATCCAAAGTAAACCCTGGAGGGAAGAGATAGAGCCTGTGTGGGCGACACGCTTGTCTCGTAACTGCTCTGACGCCTTGACCAGGTGGTCTAGTGAGCCAAGAAGTCGGGCAAACAAATCCGGGCAAACCTTAAAAAGTCCCTTTTCGATTTTGTCCCCAAACCATCACATTTTAGATAACTTTACAGCCTCCGGCTCAGTCCGCCGACATTGTCCTCTCCCTTTTCTCCTTCTTCCTGTCTCCCTTGTCTCCCTTGTGTGTTCTGTCGTCCTCTCTCCCTCCCTCTGCTCCCCAGCCTCCCCATCCCCCCAAGCCTCTCTCTCCCCAATCTCCCTCTCTCGTATGTATGTATGCACGTTTATATGTATGTATGTATGTATGTATGTATGTATGTATGTATGTATGTATGTGTGTGTGTGTGTATGTATGTAATGTAATGTAATGTAATGTAATGTAACGTAATGTAATGTAATGTAATGTAATGTAATGTAATGTAATGTATGTATGTATGTATGTATGTATGTTTTGTATGTATGTATGTATGTATGTATGTATGTATGCATGTATGTATGTATGTATGTATGTATGTATGCAATGCAATGCAATGCAATGCAATGCACGTATGTATGCATGGATGCATGTATGTATGTATGCATGCCTGTATGTATGCATGTATGTATGTATGTATGTATGTATGTATGTATGTATGTATGTATGTAATGTCGGTATGTAATGTAATGTATGTAATGTAATGTAATGTAATGTAATGCAATGTAATGTAATGTAACGTAATGTAATGTAATGTATGTATGCATGTAATGTAATGTAATGTTGTGTTATGTTGTGTTATGTAACGAATGTATGTAATGTATGTATGTAATGTATGTATGTAATGTAATGTAATGTAATGTAATGTAATGTAATGTAATGTAATGTAATGTAATGTAATGTATGTATGTATGTATGTTTGCTCCCCAGTATTTCCCTCAAAAAAACACGTTTTTCCTGCGTTTTCGCACTGAGGACGTCCAAAACACAGAGTTTTCCCGATTTTCGGCTACAGGAGGCAGGAAGCCCAAGCCAGCAAAAAAGCCGGCCATCACATTTAAGATCACACAAAGGGGTTGGTTGCCCACAGTCCTCTTTAGGGTCCAACTGTTGTTGGGGTTGCTGAAATTCCCAAGTTAAAGCCTGAGCCTTTTACTTTTAAAGGGTGGTTCAACCAAGCTCAGAAACTAGTCAGAATCAAAAGGGCAAAGATCTGCCAATCTCATTTCTGCTGTCTCTCCGAAACCTAGCCTCAGCTGGAGGTAGTTTCTGCTTGCAGAAGCAAGATGCATGGGCTGAATTCCGTCTTATACCGTTCTCCGTCCCTTGATATTTGCCCGCAGGACCTGCTCATTGGTTCGGGATGCGATGCAAGGAGACGAGCTCCAACTGGTGGTGGACAAGGTGGAGGTTCGAGGCATCAGCCTCACCGCGGCGCCAGACGCTTGTGCGCACGATCCTTCTTGTGCAAGGAGGCCTGCCCCAGCACCCTAAGCTTGTCATTAGCTGCCCTGGCCCATGTTGTATTTTTTCTCCAATCATTTGAATTTTGCCGGTCCCGAATTCGGAAGCTTCTCTCTTTCTTTCTTCATTTTGCCAGCCACGGACTTGCATTTGAGCGAACCTTCTCAGCAAGGCAATAGCTTGCAACCGGCAACACTGTCAAAGTGGTGACATGGGCAAGATGCCTTGCTTTGGTCCGTGGAGTGGCCTGTTTGGACGCTTGCACCTTGCATGTATTTGCATGTTTTGCAAGCTTGAATTCGCCAAGCAGAGTATGCGGAGTATGTATCTTACAGCCTTGCAAGCTAAGCTTGCACGCGAACTTCAAGCGCAGATTGCAGCTCCAGGAAGTCGTGCCGACAGCCGGCGTTGCTCAGACACGTGGTTGAAAAGACGAGATCCGCACCAATTGATTGGTGTTGCATCTGTTAGCCTGCTCTCTTAATTCCCCCTATACACTGCCTTAAACGATCTTCAGTTAAAGTGCCGAAAGTCTCAAATGAAGTGCGCAGCAACCTCCTTTCGAACGCGACAAAAGCTCTAGCAGAAGTACCAGACGCTTCTGCATCAAACAATATGGGAGCAATCCGTCAAAAGCCTAGAGACGATGTTCAAGGTAAAAACCATTGATTTCTTGAGCTAGGCCCACTCAACCACGAGCCAGTTTCAACCCTAAACGTCAACTAGCCCAACCCAAAGCCCTACCGCCCTGGTACCCACCTTATTTACACCCGCCATAGGCCAATCCGCCAAGCCAACCCAAAACACCCTAAACCGAGCCTTACCCATTTCCAAACCCACCAAACAAGGGGCGCTGAAAATCGCAAAAATAAAATGAAGCTGGGTCGGAAAACACATCATTCCAAGCATTCCCGAAGCAGGAGGGAATTCGATGTGAGATCATGGGCCCGGTTGTGGGCTTTTCGTTTGTCAGATGTTCTAATCTCAACCTGCCAGGATGAATTTATTCGCATCCTGGAGCTGGGCGATAAGCTTGGCGAGTGAGGAATGCCTCGATATTTCACTGCGTCACACTGTGCATTGCAACTGCTTGCTGATGTGTCATGCATCCATGTTGACCAGATTCTAGGAGATGGGGATCTGGGATGCTGTACAGTTCCCAGGGGTGCTGCGATGGCGCATGTCTATCAAGCTTGGAGTCCCAGCGTTTCGTTTTGTGGTCCTTCAGACTGTCGGTGGAGAGCCTCCGCAGCGAATTCAGATGCATGTACGTGTCACCACCTCGCGGTTGGGAATGCGCTCAGTGGACCTGGAAATCTTGATGGCTCATGGCCAGTCTTTTCCCGCGATGGCCATGGAGTTGCCTGAGTAGGTTCGTGTGCATTGATCCAGGCTCACTATGCTATGGGTGCAAAGTGCCAAGTAGAGCACATGAGGAAAGCTTTGAATGATTGCTTTGCAAGCTTACTTGGAGCCTTCTCGTCTTCTCACCAGTTTTCTTGGGGCAATGCATGTTTTTGTAGCGTGATTGGTTAGCATTGCACGGCGCTGCGGGCACGTGGAGCCAACTTTTTGTTTAAAGTTTGGAGAATTTTGTTGACTCCCACAGCACCACATCTTTGATTAATGCTGCACGTGCCTTGATTCGCAGCTTCGAAGCAATGCTTGGAGGCAGGCACCAGGGTGAAGTCATCGCACCTTGCCACAAATGTTGAAGGCAAGTACGACGACTCTGACTCAGAGGCTGGGCTTAGAACAGGATGATTCGGTTAGATCTCAAGGAGTCTCAGCTGTTGGGTTCACTTGTAGGTTTGATATGGAAATTCAGAGAAGGGTGCAGCGTGGCGCGCTTGCAAGGATCATGGAGGGAAGATTGCAAATTCTAGCGAAGAAGAAGAAGGCCGTCAGTCGTGGCTGTGTGTCATTTGCAACAGCATCCGTCAGGGCCCACCAAGGCTGCTGAACAGACGACAACCGCAGAGGCAGGCATACAACATTGCATAAGTCCTGTGATTGTGGCAACTTTCAGGGCGTCAAGCGCCTCAGACTCGCCTGAGGCAAGATGTTTGCTCTTTGTAGCCTGTGCAGGGGGAGGAGAGCGAGGACAGTGAGGATGAGGAAGGTGGAGACAAGTTGCCCTGATCTCAATCTACACATGCAGACTTCTGTGATCAGCATGCTTTGCGACAATTCTTCAGCGGTCAAAGGCCTTCCGCCTCAAAAGCTTTTAAGACTCTGAACGCCATGGGAGAGGCCTCCTCTTGTTTGCCGAGCAGCCTATGCAATCTTAAGATTGCCAGGAAGGCCTCTCCTTCAAGAAGCACGAAAAAGAGCGGGGCAAGAAAGACCGAGCTCGCTACCCAATGATGCCAAGTCCGCAATGTCCGCAATGTCCGCAATGTCCGCAATGTCCGCAATGTCCGCAATGTCCGTGTTAAGGTGCGGATGCACCAGATGAGCCTGGCCAGGACCCGAGCGCAAGCTTGAGGCCACCGTGCGCTGTTTGCGCTGTGCGCATCTGAGGATCGTGTGACCACCGCCTCAGCGGCCACCTTGCGGGGGCAGGGCTGGTTGCCAGGTAATGACGCCAAGCAGGCAGTGTCGGGCGCCCAGAGAGAGAGAGAGAGAGAGAAAATGCGAGTGCGTCTAGTGTGGGGTAGAGTGCGTGTAGTGTTGGAGAGAGGCAGAAACAGAAAGAGACGGAGTGACGGAGTGACGGAGAGATGGAGAGATGGAGAGATGGAGAGATGGAGAGATGGAGAGATGGAGAGATGGAGAGATGGAGAGATGGAGAGATGGAGAGATGGAGAGATGGAGAGATGGAGAGAGAGACGGAGGCTGCCAGAGGAGGTGGCGGGGAAGAGGCCGGAGATGCCAACGCGTCTGCGCCAACTGGCCCGCTGCTTGCCCGCTGAGCTGCAGGCCACGGGGAGATGAAGAGGAGAAGGCCAACGAATCCAAAGGCCCAGCCCCCAGCGTGAGTGAGAGTTGGGTACGCGGAATGGCTTTGTTCAGAAAGGCCAAGGCAAGGGCAAGGGGAAAATGAGCGTGAAGGCCTGGAGCTATCGTCACGTGTCGCTTTGATTTGCTTCAGATTGATCTTAGAGTTTCATTTCACTTTGCTTTTTACACAATCCCTTCAGTGGACTCACTGGACTCGTGGCAGGACCTCACGAAACTGAAGCGTTGCTCGGCACAACTTGCCAATTCCATGGACTCCAGCTCAAGTTAATTTAGCAAAAATGCGCTTCTGCACCGCCCTTTCTACTTGAGGTTTCAAGGGCCAGTCCGGTTTGGACCACAACGGAAAGACATGGAAGCCAGAGGCAAGGTGCACAGACCCCTCTTTTGCCTGTCGCCAAAATGCCGCGCTCAGATCTGGATGACGATGCGGCAGGAGTATGACTGAGGCTGAACCAAACGGTTCCAGTGGCACCAGAAACACCCAGAGTCCAAGGTCCACATGATGCGCCGCACATGCGCCAGGCGTACCTCGGGCGCTGTGCAGCTTCTGATGCTCATGTCGCTTTCTTCATTTCTCAAGACTATGCACCCCTGTGATAGCACGTGCCGCGGCCAAATACGGCTACCCGTGTAAATATGCGCCGGAGCATAGAATCCATGTTCCCAAAGTTGAGCCAAAGTCGCATCGTCAGCGTTCGGTGCGTGCAGAAGAGCTTGCCAGTCACAAGGAGGGCCAGCACTAGGGTGAAAATATCCGGGGCTTGCACCTGGTGCCATCCACTCTTGGCTCATGTCCAGTAGTTAGGTCTTGTTGTTTCTTTAGGCGAGCTTGGGAAAGTGTGGAGTTCCAAGAGTTGTGTTGTGAGTGCGGGGAGTTGAGCTGCTTCGGGTTGCCCCAGAGGTCAATGGCGATTGAGGAGCGGGAGCGATCCTTTGGGAGATTCATTGAGACATGGGGATGGCAGGAGGTGGAGGGCCTCACAGAGGGCGGCCCCACAGAGTACACGGTCGCCCAGGGGGTTTGCTTTATCAAGCCTTCGGAGGAAAGCTGAGGATGGAGTGCATGCACTTGATGCGTTTCAAGCTTTTTAGGACCCCAAGTCCACAAAGATCCTGAAAGCCAAGCGACCTGTTGGGCTGCCCGGCTGCAATTCAGGTAGCCCTTGGGCACGCTCGCCCGCGCTTGCGTTTGCGAACTGTGCAAGGTCGAAGATCCACACCACCGGTTCGCGCCTGAAGCCTTTGGTGAAAGTCACTTGTGAAAGTCGATCATGAAAGTCGATCACTTGTCCAAAGGGGACTTGTTGATTTCTGACGAACACATTTGGATGGGGTGAGTCGGTGAGTCTTGACATTTTCAAGTGGAATCTTGGCGGCTGACAGCCGACTGCGCAGGGACAACATGGAGAGGCCCTCAGGGCGGTCTTTGGGCAGAGGCGTGGCCGGTTGCAATCGAGCCAGTTGCCTCCTGGCGAAAGAGATGAAATGCGCAGGTTGACTGCGCACGGTCTCCTGGAGAGATGGGTGCTTTGGTGGCAAGGCTTCGTTTGACTGGCTGAAACACCGGGTGCGAGGATACGTTCTGTTTCTTTTTGAAACTTTTGCGGCCATGCGCAATGCTAGCAGTTTGATTGCACTTTGGAACGCTGAGGCTGGGTACTGGTCGAGGGCCCAGGCTTCGGCCTCCGCGGCCCCTGCTTGCAGCCCTGGCATGCGGCTTTCCACGGCAGCTTCGGCGGGGTGCGCGGTGCGCGTGCTGAGACTTGTGGCAGGATCGACCCAGAAGCGAACGATGGCGCATCGCAGATGATCCACATCAGGCCATCGCAAGATGTACGCGCATACTGCGGCTGCGGCATGACCCGTGGCAGGTGGCTCAAGGACCCGCCAATCTTCAACTGCATGATGCCAAAGAGCGCGTCTCCCGGACCTGTTTCAGAGCGCCCAGTGCATTGCGATTGCTGCAATGTGTTCATTTGCATCGCGAGACTGAACTGCTCAGTCGTTCCCATTTTGCACGTAGAACCATCGGCGATTTGGTGGACACGTTCTGTGCAAGAACAGGGCTGAACCGCAAGGACTCTCGCACTCCCAAGCTCCGAAAAGCTGTCCGAGCACTATCCGAGATCCGAGCAGTGCCCGCAGGAGACCATCCTCACTAAAGGCTTGCCAAGCAAAGCACCAAACGGGTCTGGCGCGCTGCTTCCTGTGGACTACACAGATCCCAAGGAGAGGCCGTGCCAATGATGCAAATTGGTTTGGCTTTGCGACGAACGTCCATTCTTGATATTGTTAAGCAGGAGCAACTGTGGGTGTCCTAAATGCCTGATGTGATAACCAGAGTGTGAAGTGATGTACACTCCTAGCTGTACTGAAGGAAGGCTCAAGGCCTGGAATGTACTTGGCAGCATCAATGATGTACTGAAGGAAGGCCTTGAATGTACTTGGCCTTGGCAGTGGCAACATCCATTTTCAACATTTCAGGAGAATGTATACAACATTATCCTGAGGAGGCGTGTTAAATACTACATGCTTTTTCTAGCAGTACAGTTGGCCTACATCCGCTGCCCATACATCCCAAGGCCTTGAGCCTATGTACAGACCTGCCTTAGTACAGCTACAGTAGACAGTACATCATTGCCCAGAGGAAAACAACTGCGCTTCACTTCGCACAGGTCATCGCATCAGGTAAATAGGTATACAGCTGCTCCAGGTTTAACATGGTAGCAGAGCAGTGATCCCTGGCACACGATCCACACACATGACTCAGGGTGAGCTCCAACACACACCCACCGGTTCAGGCATACAGCATTGAACACAGTTACGCGCCTGGAAAGATCTGGCGGCCTTTCCATACAACACACAAGGAACGGCGGCCCAACAACGACAGTAAGAGCAACAGCATCAGCTGGAAGGAATTCACAAGCACAAGATAGCACCACCACGATTCACAGGAGAGAATGGAAGTGCAAGATGACAGCATACCATGGGATACAAGACCCTTCATACAACAGACTGCAGAGACAGTCAGAGCAATCACAACTGCCAGCTACAAACGGCCAACTTGAGACAGCAGCACCTTCACAAGTAGTAGCAGAGCAATGGATACAACTGAGCAACAACTTACACTACATCTTGGCGAGCGCATGCGGTGGACCAGCATCTACAATTTGCAGACAAAACGCGCAAGGCAACAGCTTCGAGACATGGCGGCCACTACACCTGAGATGCTCCATACCACTTGGCGCACGAGGCATTGGGCACCTAACAAGGTTTCTCAAGCCACAGCTCGATGAACAGAAGTTCGAAGAGAGCTTTACAACATGGGAGTTTCAGCTTGCCAAGTATGAAGAAGACAACCACAGACTACTACCAGATGCAGTCAAAATCGCAATACTGCTCAATGAGACAAAGGGACCGCTACAGCAACACCTACAGTTTCAAGCAGGATGCTACAGAGCAGCACCATCATCCAACAGGCTACAAGCAATCACATCAGGCAACAGCAACAACCGAGGACCAGCGCGAATGGACATAGGAGCAACGTGGCACAACAACGGCAAAGGAAACAAAGGCAAGCGCAAGGGCAAAGGAAGGCACAACAAAGGCAAAGGCTATGGCGGCTACGGGAACAACTACAGCTACAACAACTACAAAGGAGGAAAAGGCAAAGGAAAAGGATACAGCAACAAAGGAATAGGCAAGGACAACAAGGATATGGCAAAGGAAAAGGATACAGCAACAAAGGAAAAGGCAAGGGATACTACAACAACCGACCAGGAGGAAATGGAGCAAAGGGAAAGCAAGCAACAAATTATTGCTACAGGTGCGGACAACCAGGACACATGGCGGAAGAATGTAGAGTGGCGATCTACAACTGCAACACTGGCAACTTCGACACCAATGACCAGACAGATGACTGGTACAGTCAGGCGCACTTTGGCAGCAACTGGTACCACCAGGATCAGACACAGATGCAACAACTAGCACTGCTGGCAACCAGCAGGTTCATCAGCAGCACCCGTCTCAGGATTACAAGAAGTAACAATTGCCATGATTGGCGCAGCGCAGCAACTCACAGAAGATAACAAGTGGGTCAGTCTCATGATTGACAGCGGTGCGGCTACACTTGTTTGCCCACCATGGTTTACAACACAATTTCCACTACAGCGCCTCGAGCGTGGAACAGGACCACAACTGAGAACAGTAACCAACCAACACATCAAGCTTAACGGGTACAGATGGGTTTGCGTGACAAACCACAGTGGACAACAGATCGTCATACCATTTTACGTTTGCGAGGTTAAACAGCCAATTCTTTCGGTTCCAAGGCTGGTGGAACAAGGTTTCCAACTTACACTGGATGACAATCCAAGACTACAGCGCACCAAAGGATTCAACAGAAAAATTGGAGAGCAGAGATGGCCTGTTCTTCCCACAAGCAGAAATCAAAACAGTGGCAAGACGAAGCTGATTGCAGCAGCAATCAACATGGACGAGGTCGCAGTAGTGTCTGGAAAGAGGCCAAGAAATTCCTGAACATCATGGTTCGCGCAACTGCAATTTTTGGCGGCGCGCATGAGTGGCACAGTCGGACAGCTGGATACAACATTTGCTTGAAACAGCGGCCATTTTAAACCTGCTTTCGACACCACGACCCACAAGGAAGTTGCGCAGCTTGGCACACATCTTTCGCGCAGTGGCAACATCCATTTTCAACATTTCAGGAGAATGTATACAACATTATTGCTTTCTCTAGCAGTACAGTCGGGCTACATCCGCTGCCCATACATCCCAAGGCCTTGAGCCTATGTGCAGACCTGCCTTAGTACAGCTACAGTAGACAGTGCGTCACTGCCCAACGGAAAACAACTGCGCTTCACTTCACACAATTTCATTACATCAGGTAAATAGGTACACAGTTGCCCAAGTTTAACACTGCCACAGTGTATATATATATATACATATGATATTGTTAAAACAGGAGATACTGCGGGTGTCCTAAATGTCTGATGTGTGTGTGAAGTAATGTACACTCCTAGCTGTACTGAAGGAAGGCTCAAGGCCTGGAATGTACTTGGCAGCATCAATGATGTACTGAAGGAAGGCCTTGAATGTACTTGGCCTTGGCAGTGACAACATCCATTTTCAACATTTCAGGAGAATGTATACAACATTATCCTGAGGAGGCGTGTTAAATACTACATGCTTTTTCTAGCAGTACAGTTGGCCTACATCCGCTGCCCATACATCCCAAGGCCTTGAGCCTATGTGCAGACCTGCCTTAGTACAGCTACAGTAGACAGTGCGTCATTGCCCAGCGGAAAACAACTGCGCTTCACTTCACACAATTTCATTACATCAGGTAAATAGGTACACAGTTGCCCAAGTTTAACACTGCCACAATGTATATATATACATATGATATTGTTAAAACAGGAGATACTGCGGGTGTCCTAAATGTCTGATGTGTGTGTGAAGTAATGTACACTCCTAGCTGTACTGAAGGAAGGCTCAAGGCCTTGAATGTACTTGGCAGCATCAATGATGTATTGAGAGGCATGTAGCTCACCACGCCTCCTCAGGAAAAGGTGTAAGTGTAACACACATTCTCCCTGAAGGTTGAAATAGATGTAACCGCCGTATGTACCCCTGTGCAGCTTCTTTGCGGGTTGCGGTGTCAAAAGCCAGTGTAAAAAACACTGCTGCTTCAAGCAGATGTTGTATCCAGCTGTTCGACTGCGCCACTCATGTGCAAAAGATGTACTGCCAAAAGTCTGCTTTGCAGTCCACGTTGTTTATGCATTCCTTGCCCTTTTTCCCGATGCTGTTGTAATCTTATCCTCGTCTGCTGGTGTGAGGAGCTGGATGCGGTACTTGTTCACACGGCTGATGCCTTCAGGGTAAAATTCCTGATTCTGCATGTAGCACCAGATGTGATGGCCCTGGCATCCTCGGATGCGCTGGATGTCTTTGACAGCTTGTGTTTGTACCGACACCTTGCCTGATGTCTGCGGCGTTGTTGAGGTACTTGAGGATCTGTAGGCCCGAGGGCATGGCTGCATGGATTGTATCCTCTTCTGATACTGTTTGTAGGTCGCTCAGGTTGATGATGGCGTTGCAATCCCAAGCAACACCGTTGACGTTGAAATGGCAAAGTTCCCAGATGTGGCCAACTGTGCTGTGGCAAATTTGTTTTCGCTGAAGAGGTAGAGCAGAGGCGTAAGAGCATCAATTGGGCTGGTGTTGTAAACCAAGTAGTCCCGGCATGTCTGCCTGAAGTCCGGTGTAGTCACCTCTCAGGCGCATGTGTTCCTCTGCAGTCAAAGCGATGCACAAGATGCACAAAACACTGTTTGTACTTGTGGTCTTGTCAGTCTGCCGCTCCATGGTGCTGTGCGCCTCACTTCATGTTGTAAAACCCCACCGATGTGAGCGATGTAAACAACGCCCTTCCTGTGCGATCATGTGATGTAACCAGAGTGGCCAAGGTCTGTGTCTGTGGTCTGACGTATCAAGAGAAGCGTGTCTCCCTGTTGGAGAACGGCAAAAGCTGCGGAATCAATGTTCAAACTAAGCTGTAGCGCTTTTCAGTTCAGTGGTGCGCAGGGTAACCTGTGCAACTGTTGTTTAACATACTGTGCACACTGTGTGGGACTGGTTGTTTGTCGAGACAAACTGGGTTAGTGTGTCTGCCGGGTTGCAATCCGATTTTACCCTGCGCATTGTGATGATTTTGCTCGTGGCAAGTTGTTGAATGAAGAGGCGCCGCAGATCAATGTGCTTTGCTTTCTTGGAGGTGCCGTTTTAGCTGCGCTGCTGTCTGCGTGTATCCTGATGTTGGTGCGTGCTTCAAACGCTTCCTTGGTGATCTTGCTGATGTAGAAGCTCTCTTGTGCTGCTGTACCAATCGCGTACAGTCCTGCTTCTGCTGATGAAAGTGCTATTGTTGCTGGTGTTCTGCTTCCACGGAGCATTGCTGCTCCAAAGAAGTGTGTCGCGAATGGGATTCGTTTGTCCTGTATCTGTATCTTTGGTCGCAGATTGTGTCGAATGTACCTTGTGCCTGTGAGGTACCTTATCATGTGCTTGAGTTTCTGGCTGTCAGAGAGCGTTGGTGCTTGTAGTGATCTTGCTAGTTCTTTTACTCCGTTGCTGATGTCTGGCCTGGCGTGTGCCAATCGTTGTATCTTGCGTTGCTTGTGTTCTTTGTTCTTCATCTTCTGCTGCGCCT